AAGGTTCACGTGATTCTTTTCAAAACACCCGGTCAGCGACGTATCCGCTGAATAAGTCGACAATAAAAATGTTTATAAACTGGGGGTGCTTCTCTCTGCTTCTCAAGTTTCTCTTCGGTCAAGAACCGTCCGATATTTAAGCCCCAAACAAAAACAAATAAATTTCCCTAACTAGGGGTGTTAGCCGCTTCTACACAACGCGGTTCCGCTAAGCTAACATGCCCTTACTTTCCCTTTTTCTAGACATCCCAAATGTTCCAAACGGAATGGCTGTGTCTAGATAAGGAATCTGTCCAAAAACCCCCTCCCGCCAGTCGTCGGAAAACAAGTTATTTGACCGATCATTCTCGGGCTCCACAACCGTCTCCTATTTCTCTGGACTCGAACCAAGCAAACGACCTGACCAACTAGCCTAATACGTTGTGGGGCGTCGGCCAGAGAAACTAAAAATCGTCCACCACCCAAATATGTCAAGGGAAACAGCAAAGACTCGAACCAAGCAAACGACCGGACCAATGCCTAGTACGTTGTAGGGCGTCGGCTTTGCGTTTCCTGTCAGTTCCCCCACCCCCATTCTGTCCTGGATCGACAAACGAACAGTAGACCCGCACCGCAACTGCTAAATGCGTTACCGTAATGCTTGCGCTCCTGCTCTTTCTGGACTCGAACCAATTCAAACGACCGGGCAAATGCGTAGTACGTCGTGTGGCGTCGGCCAGAAAGCACCTATAAATTGTATTTACGTTAATTTTAACAAGTAGTCGTCGACACTTAGTTACAGGTATTATAAAAATGATAACTCATAGTTCTTGATTTAAGGAAGTTCTGGTAAATTTGTCCATGAACAAAACAGAGAATTTTTAAGGTTAAAAACATTTCAAAGTCAGGCCTCTATTCTGCGACAAAGTTCTGATTGAGCGGCCGCTCAACACTGACAGTCACAGAAGTTGGGGACTTTAAAGTTACTAATTTAAAGACAAAAACAAATAAGTAGGTGCACATTTAAAATTATTTAAGTTCCCCTGCTCTATAAAACAGTCAAGTTACTCATGGCAAACAAAGATGAAAGCTTTGCCATCCCTAGGTACATCCACACCGATACCGCAGGCATCGAGATTTGACCCTGGTAAAATTCCTTAAGGAATATGAAATGTCCTCGTTGGGCGCCAATTCTGTTACGTGGGCATATTAGTGCCCGAGTCCTGACAAGGACTTGGGCCGAGGGAGAGGCGTTCCGATGTTCAGGCACCATTTGCCGGCATAAGCTACGTCGTATTTGGGTCGTGGGATCTTGGTAAGCCTCTCTCCTCTCCAACATAACGAGAATAAATATTAAAAGTGCCTGGAAAAATAATAATAGTCATCAAGTTCGTCAGTCATCAGTCCACACTGCCCAACAAGCTTAGCTGTCGCTTGATCGCAATACGATCGGGCTGTGTGTTGGCCATATTCCCTCCCCTTCACACATTCGTGTGCCAATGGATCGTCGCGGGCCGCGCAATATGATCCCCTATTGTCAAGGTTGTCCGTCGAAAGTTATGTCATTGTTCTTGACCTACTTCACTCCTCGCGTCAGCACACCCCCTTTGTTAGAGTTCTAGCACACCATGGTTTTGAATTCTTTTTCACATTATAAATTTATTAAATAATATTTATGTCGGCGTGTGCCGGTGTTGAATAACATAATATTGGTTAATTCATATAGGGATTAAATTAATTGACAATTATTGTATTAGCGGAGAGTATCGATTTGACCACCTGTGAAGGTGCACACATCAGCAAAATGCTGACTATTCACGACTGCAAACGTCGCTCAGAGGGCTCTTGCAATTGTCATACAATTACAAGGCTGATACTGGCCGCTGAAAAATTAACATTTAATTATTATGTATAAAAAAAGGTATAAAAAGAAAAGTATATCTAAATGATTATATATATGAAACAATTATTATATGTGGATATTATATATTATTACATGTATTCCTAACAGATTAATTCTTTGTCTTAACTAGGAAAGTATTAACATTGCCCAAAAACCAGACGGTTTCCAGACGGGAAAGAACAATGACCGTTGGAACGGTAGAGATAATGATAGCTTTTTCGGTCTTATTACAGTGGGCAAGTGGAGAAAAATCTAGACGGAAGGTCTCAATATATAAGTATTTCAATTCATTCACTGTTATTGGTAGGGTCGCTTTTGATAACAAGTATAAAATTCTTACGTTAAATTGTGGATCAGTGTCTATTGTTTTTGCTAAAGCTTCTGATGTAATCATGGTGCACGGGATATATATATATATGTATGTATGAGAAAGGAACCGTGTTCCGACAAACTTACCCTCTTTTTAATCCTGGGCTTTGGGGAGATTTTATAATTGGTTTATATACATATATACGTGCAAGACTTGAAGGCGGTTTACAAAAACAAAACACAAAAATTACGTTACACAAAAAAATAACACTATCGCTGTATAGATATGTATGTATGTATGCATCGTATGCGAGTTCCACTGAGGCACACGTCAGTTCCAATGCTCGGGCTGGGCTGGCCGGTGCAGCTCCACTTTCTTGTTCAGCGTATGTAATTGGGGGTTCTGTTTACACTTGCATTCAGAATGCATGTACTCGCAAATTGTTTTTGATTGTTTTGGCGATTCACTTTTTTGTTTATAATATTGGAGTGCAATTTATTTATTATTATTTGTATTGTTTCTATTGTCTTTTTGCTGCTTTATTGTCTTTTGGTGGTTTCACTTCACTGTATCGGCTCGGCTTATGCTCCAATATGGGTCACCACTTTCTCCAGGGTGTGATGTTGGTCGCGGGCGTCTCTGAACAGAGCGCTTGTACATCTTTACAACCTTAAGGAGCACTATAACCAGGAGTAGTCCAACGATGAGCTTCATGGTCTTGTTGACATCCTGAATATCATCTTGGTGGTCCAACGATCTCTACTGTGTTAATCACATTGGCGGTGCTGCCGGCCACTTTAGACGTTTGCTACCCATCTTGGGTCCTTAGGCCATTCACTTGGTTCACTAGTTATTTGTCCTTCGGGATTTTGCTGGTTGACTTCCTCCAGATTGTGGTCGATCGCAGGACCGGTTATCGGGACTTTCTCCTGGGTGAAGTTGATCCTAGGGAAACGTCAAGACATCCTTCTGGACACCAGCCTTCTTCCAGTCGTGGTCTGTGTTGACGGGAGTTGCACTTCTAGACCACCGTCATGGAGAGATCAGAACAATTTTTGTCTTTCTCCATTTGGCTGGGGTCTTTTATACCGGACTAGAGCTTTCGCTAGCCCCCATATTGGATGAATTAACTAGGTGTTCCCACCTAGGGGTACTGTTTCTCCCATTTCCCCTATTTTAGGAGTCAATGGCCGGCTGGTGCACTTTGCCACCTTACTGGATTACGGTTACGAGCAGGTCGATCGTGGTCGTTGTTCTGGCCACGCGACACCCATGAGTTGTCGAATTGTTTTTGCTGTTTTGCTTTTATCAATCGCAGTGTGGTTAGTCATTACGGCCCCTACCCTCAACTAATGGCAGTTGTTTTGCCGGGTTAATCTTGGTATGGGGAAGGGCGTACGTAACACTATATCTAACATTTTATTTCAATATCAAAAATCCGGATCTATACTTGACTTTGCCCGTTGGTCCTCCTTTTGCTACCAATTTCCTACTGAAAAAAGGTCAATGCTATAATCAATACCTTTCACAGTGTAAAGACTACTTTCGCACCGATCCAAAACAATTTTTCTCTTTTGTTAACTCTAAACGAAAATCTAACGCATTTCCTATGTCCCTTCGCTGATGTTAACTGAAATGTATTAGTCTCGTTTGCCCACGCCCACTCTAACGCCCCACAAAATATTTTTGGTGATGGTCTACATATTTTCTGATCGCTAGTCTTCATTACTATTGTTTGACCCCGAAAAGACCAAAATTCAGTATTGTTGCCTATACGAGAGCCAACCTGCGTACATTATATACAGCAATGATAGCCCTTATGATTTTTTAAGCCACAAATCATGGCTTTAGCTGGGGCATCACAATGAAATCATTGCAATTCAGCTAAATATTCCTCAACCCTAGCTGAATGCCGTCCATCTTAATACATTTCAATTCGTTGGCGAAATCATAACGGCTAACTAGTCGAGGTACCCGGCCATAGCGTTCTTCCTTATCTAAGCTACGGACCTGGGAACATTTTTGTAGTATTAAACCGATTGATATGGATAAAATTCAAAGGGTCAAAGTTCCTAGCCTTATGCTAAAGAAATGATTTACATTTCGATGGAAAGATAGAACTAAGATCTAAACACTTTACGTTGACATAATTGCTCTTAAAAATCTCTGCAATACCGTAGCTAAATTTAGTTATTGAGTAAAGGTTTTCCGAGATTTCTTTAAAAACTGGTCGATTCTGAAAGCACCCTCAGAACTTGTAAGAATTTGATAATCCCCAACTTTTGACGTATTACACATTATCAAGAATAATAATATTTTAGATAGTATCCGCAGTGATAATCATTGGTAAAGACTTCATAGGCTCACAAAACTTTTTAATTTATTTTAGTTTCCCATTTCAGCAATTTTGCAGCCGGTAGTATAAATTAATTCAACTAAAAACACAAATTTGTAACTTAGTAATAATTTATTCACATGTACACTCAAAATACACATTTTGCAAATGTTTGCTTAACATATGGCAACCGAACTTTAAGAGATACAATTGAGAGTAAAACCATTAAATGACTGGCACATAAGGCGATGTCTGATGTTTGTTTATAGTGGCAGCTTGTCGACAATATCAAGTTTTTAATTCGGCAATTAGCACCCAGTTATCGCTTAAGTAATCTGCATTTTGATAAAACTTATAAAACAGAGCCTCAATCTTTATGTCTAATTGCAGTTGTATACGGTATTGGGTAGAGCTTTAACTTTTACGTCCAAACGAATTTTATTTATCAACACGGTTGGAAGTGAGTGGGGGCTGTCAGCCTGTCTGTTTTTTTGAAACCGGCCGAGACGTAATTTCTAATTTATCTAAAAGGGAAAACAATTAGTATGAGCATCGATTTAAAAGGTAAATAAATTTATAAGCGAAAAACAGAAAAAAGAGCGAACTGTTACTATGAACAAAGGAAATATATGGATATATATTAAATGGTTCTGGGTGCTTAAACAATGAAGAACAAGAAAGAAAGCTAACTTCGGCAAGCCGAAGTTTGTATATCCCTGCAGTTATGACTATTCAATTTAAAAATACAAAAAATGATATTCCCAATAGTATAAGATAATATGTCAAAAAACACCGAAAATATAATTTGTTTCATGTTTTTTTCCCACCAATTTTTCGATCGTTCCCATGGTAGCTATACGATAAAGTCGTCCGATTTTAATAAAATAAAATTCAATATTTAGCGATTATTAAAAAATGTTATTTTCAAGCGTGTTAAAAAACACCAAAGACCAAAACACCCATTATAATTTGCGATTATTTTAATGGGAACTATAAGATACAGTTATCCGATCCGGCTGGTTCCGATTAATACACTACCTGCAAAAGAAATAAGACTTTTGGGAAAGTTTCAGCCCGATAGCTTTAAAACTGAGAGACTAGTTTTAGTAGAAACGAACGGACAGACGGATATGGCTAGATCGACTCGTCTAGTGATGCTGATCAAGAAAAAATATACTTTATACTATGAGCTTTCTGTAAAACTTAGAAAAAAATAAATCAATTACAAATAATATAAAAATAAATGAAAGGGTAAAATAATTATTTCATTATTTCGCGATGATTTGTTTCATATTATTTTCCCACCATTTTTCCAATCTTTCCTATGGCAGCTATATGATATAGTCGCCCGATTTTGATAAATTAAATTAAAAATTCGAAATTAATTAAAAAATGATATTTCCAAGCTTACTTAAACACCAGAGATATAATTTTTTAATTTTTTTTTCCGTTTATATGGGAGCTATAAGATATAGTTGTCCAATCCGGGTTGTTCCGACTTGTATACTACCTTCAAAAGAAAGAAAACTTTTGGGAAAATTTCAGCCCGCTAGCTTTAAAACTAAGAGACTAGCTTGCGTAAAACGGACGGACAGAAGAGACGGACACGGACATTTATTAAATTTAAAAATACAAAAAATGATATTCCCAATAGTATACATATATGTCACAAAACACGGAAGCTATAATTTGTTTCATATAATTTTCCCACCAATTTTCCGATCGTTCCTATGGCAGCTATATTATATGGTCGTCCGATTTTCATAAAATTAAATTCGAAATTCAGAACTAATTAAAAAATGGTATTTCCAGGCGTAGAAGGTTATATGTTAAAAAACACCGAAGCTATACTATGTTTCATATTATTTTCCCCACCTATTTTCCGATCGTTCCTATGGCAGCTAGATGATGAAGTCGTCCGATTTTGATAAAATTTAATTCGAAATTCAAAACTAATTAAAAATGTTATTTCCAAGCTAAGGAGGTTATATGTTAAAAAACGCCACAGATATAATTTTTTTGAATTATTTTTCCGATTATTCCTATAGGAGCTATATGATATAGTTGTCCGATCCGGTTGGTTCCGACTTATATACTACCTGCAAAAGATATAAGACTTTTGAAAAAGTTTCAGCCTGATTGCTTTAAAACTGAGAGACCAGTTTGCGTAGAAACGGACGGACGGACGTGGCTAGATCGACTCGTCTTGTCATGCTGATCAAAAATATATACATATATACATACTTTATGGGGTCCGAAACGTCTCCTTCACTGCGTTGCAAGCTTCTGACTGAAATAATACTACCCCCTGCAAGGGTATAACTAGAAAGGAAGCTAGCTTTGGCAAGTCGAAGTTTCTATACCTTTGCAGCTCGTTACCGTGGGAGCATTGTATGTACAAAGCTTTCCGATTTTAGGAAAACTAAATCTAGCCTTCAGTTCTGCAGTAGGGACGCGGTGACATGACTCAAGGCTAAAAGCTTTTTTGTTATTTTTGTGTGCCTAAAACGCTGTGCCGCTGTTGAAATCGGCGCAGCGTAGAGGACTGCCTACGAAAACGATCAAGCAACAAAGAGATGCAGATACTTGGGGGTTCCCCCTCTTTCTTTGTCTTACAATCTGCCTGCACTCGGCGCTCTCAGAGACAAATTTCGGCCGGTCCGTTATTTTTTTTGCGTCTCTCCGTTATGTTCGGCTAGCGACTAACATGTTGGGGGAAACATTTTCGTGGAGCAGTGACATGTGAATGACCTACTATTTTAAGAGCATTATTGTATATCGAAAAAAAGTCAAATATTGCTTATAAAAGTAAGTTATTTGATTATAGTAAAATTCAGGAAATTGAATTTAGTTATAATGTTATGTTTACGTATTATACATTTTTATTAAAATATACATTTTTAGTTCAGTTATAGAAATTTAATCCGTTAATATTTATTTAAATATTTAAAACATTCTAGTATTAACATTTAAAAAAAATTCATATAGTTATATTACTTAAATATTATATAATCGGATATTTTTCGTTTTAAAAAGGGTATAGTTGCAGTGGTCGCGCCAACAGCGAAGATAAAACCAAAGACATCAAGTAAAGGGGTGAGGAAGAAGACTTGGTGCATTCTGTTTCTGTTATTGAAAGTGAAGCAAGCCATTTACATAAATTGTACGCAGCAGATTTACTTTTTACGTTTAAATTCTTTTTCTAGCAATGAAATCTGATATTTTTTTCAATACAATAATTATAGTTCAAATTGCAAGGAAATATTTAATGTTTCCTAAAAACTTTTGACTTACTCTTGCCCTAGTGGGTATTTGAACCGGGGTCCTCTCACATCAGAGGCAGACGCCTTACCCGTTAGGCCATCGCACCATGTAACGAGTGAGCGTGTAAGTTCAAGTTATAAGTATCGCATCGGACTCTCGAGCGGAAGACCCCAAATCGATTCCCACTGTGGAGAAACTATAAGTCTGTTTTTATATGTAACAGGCAGAAGGCTGCGTTTCCGACCCCATAAAGTGTATATATTCTTGATCAGGATCACTAGCCGAATCGATCTAGCCATGTCCGTCTGTCCGTCTGTCTGTCCGGATGAACGCTGAGATCTTGGAAACTATGCGAGCTAGGCTATTGAGATTTGGCGTGCAGATTCCTGAGCTTCTTACGCAGCGCAAGTTTGTTTCAGTAGAGTGCCACGCCCACTCTAACGCCCACAAACCGCCCAAAATTGTGGCTCCTACAGTTGTGATGCTAGATATAAAATTTTAACTGAAATGTATTGGTCTCGTCAATACCTATCGATTGGTCCAAAAAAAATTTGCCACGCCCACTCTAACGCCCATAACGCTTAAATCTGTATACCGCCGGTAGGAGGCGCATTTTAATCTCGCTTTGCTACTTGCTTATCTCTATTTAGCTGAGTAACGGGTATCTGATAGTCAAGGTACTCGACTATAGCGTTCTTCCTGTTAACTTACTAAGTTAACTTCCTTTCTTGTTTTTAGTGTAGTACAATATTATTAGCGAGATTATTAAAAATAAACAAATTCTATTAATATCATGAGAAAAATTTAACATTTTTTTTTAGATACCCAATTTTTAACGCATATGTATATTGCCTAAAATGTTCAATTTTAATATAATTCGGCTCAGTTCTTTAAATAGTACCTTTAATAATTGATTAATACGATGACCTAAAATATTCAGCCATTCGTGACCTAAAAAGTAGTGCAAAAGTCAAAAAATTGAAATTTTTAGGCAGTGCATGATGACCTACAAATTAACTCTTAGTCCACTTTACATTTTTTAGGCCACGCATGACCAAAAATTTTGCTCATTATTTTTCTGCGTGTAAATTAATAAATTGTTGGAAAATACACACAAAATAAGCAGTATATTAATTTGAACATATAGTACACACATGCAGAAAAAATAAATCTACGTCTTGTCGTTCAAGTTTTCCCTAAACAATTTGGGCTTGAGTTTGACAGATGTTATTTTAACAGTGGCCTGTTAAGTTTTGTAACATAACATTTTGATCTATTATTAATTCGATAAAATCAACTTTTCGTAATTTTGAATACTTGTCATAGAGTAAGAATCTATATAGAGGTTTCAATTGCTCTGCCCGAACCTCTGCCCAACCTCTGCTAAGAGCCCATTCAAGGCCAAGTTTGAAGCTAACTTAGGTGCGAAGCAACAGCAATAGGGATTTCGATTAAAAACAAAAACAAAACAGTGAGCAAGAGCGGTGCAGAATGAGGTGGGAAGGAATTACAAGGTCGATCGAACTTGTCAAAAAGAGGGGAAATAAGCATTTTTCGCCTAGGTGGCATCATAGCCTCATTATCTAAAGAGAGCGGCAGAGCAATTGGCGCCTCTATATAGTTCATTACTCTATGTACTTGTCAAAAAGAATAATGCCAAAAAAACAGGTCAATTTCCCCATAGTGCTATGGTCGGTACCGCTACAGGTCTTATCAAGAGAGCCGTCGACAAATTAGCCTCTATTAGTACCTCTACCAACGGGGGAGTATGTTCGCATCAGACCGCCAGCGCCTAGTCAGGTGCTCGTAGATGTACCGACCGCACCTGCAGCGCCCTCGTGCGATCTTACCTCTTTGCCTCTCTCTTCGCTTTGTACCTCGTTAAATCTATCGCGTTATCTGTTAAGTCAAACAACTTGTAAGCAAATTCATATAAGTACATCACGATGACAATTATTCGGCTACGACAGTGTAGCTCCGAACTTTTTTTATAAACACGGAATATATATGTCGGAGAGGAGGTAATTCAGTCTTTCGTTAGGCATGATACTTTAAGGTGTGACCATGGGTAAAACTGGTACATACCAGTTCTGGTATGATGGGGACTCAGTTTGCGAACTGAGGTTTTGTGTGGCTTCGTTGCGTTGCTAGGTCTGGTCGCTCCCCTTTTTCTTTTCGTCCTGAGCTATAAGGTGGTGTACAATTGAGGACTGCTAAAAGGTTAGTTATTATGTGCAACAAAGGCAACGAAGACTCGCTGCATCAGCTAGAACTCAATATGGAGCAACAACAAGCAATCG